CATTCACAGTGTGACCACACATAGTTTGAATCCGAAATCTCACAAAATCCAAATGCCTAGAAAAACTGAAAAAAGTCAAACTTTTGTCCAAAAAATTTTGCAGGGCTTAGCACGAGGGTGCATTTGAAAATAAAAAACAAAGTTTCGCCTCGGCATTGCAAGAAATTACAAAAAACAAGCACGGCTATTAACTCGCAGCAAACGGAAAATAGATAAAATAAATGGAAGATGAAGGATATCACTAATAAAACAGCAAAAGGCGGAAAAAAGTAAGGTTTCTTCAGCATCAAGGGCCGTAGCGAAGCTTTATTTAGAAAATTTTGAATAATTTTGTGAGGAAAGGGAATTATGACTTTGTTTGGTTCGCACGGGAACAACCTAAAAAGCCTCCAGCGACTTTTTTTATTTGAATAATTTTTTGATAAAATTTTGTACTTTTCTTTCGGTCATCGTTGCCGAGGTACTGACCAAATCTGGCTCAGTATTGCTTATCCGTTGTGAACAAACTGACTGTCTTTCTTCTTATGCATTAATCATATTTTGACAAGTTGAAGTCGTATGCACACAGGTTTATACACTACCCGTACATCTAACGCATCAACTTACCTGTACAGATGAAATGACATAAAGCCTCAAATTTGGGCTAATGAAAGTCCGAGTTGTGCTTGCTAATTCTTTGTCAGATTTTGGAAAACACCCTTCAGCGATTGTACGGCTCTTGCCTTGCCTCTAGAAACGACATTTAGCGTGTGAAAGTGCCACCTCTGCTGAGCCCTGATCCTTCCACCTTTTAAATTGTTGTAGCGTATAATTACTACATCAGACTTTCGTACATACAACTGCTGTAATTTCAGGAGGTGTGTTTTAACAAATGGTTGTTCAGAGTTTAATTTTAAAAATTTGGGATAGGTCGATTGATGCCGATATAAAAAGACTGAAGCAACCTCAATCTGAAACTTTGGTAATATCACATTTATTACACATGCAAAAAGCATTATGCATAAATTAATTAGTTTTCGAACATTTCTTTGAATCGTTGAATGGACGCAAGCTTTGAATGTGAAGAGTGTAGAATTTTTGTCACTAGCTCGTGTACCCTATATATTCTAAACTAAGTATAGTCAAAATGTTTCGGCGTGGTGAAGAGTATTTGCTGTTCATGAGAGAAAATTCAAAAAATCTTTGAACATAGCCTGCTTTTCAACAACACATGTACAGTGTGCGGCAAAAGTCTGGGAGCTTAGTACAGGTAAAATCAGAAGGAAAGTGCATAGAAACAAAAATGGTGCACAAGAATCGCACCTTTACAAAAACAGCGTTACTCTCAAATTTTAAAATTGTTTCTTCTGGCTTCAAAGCAGCCCTTCAAAATCTTGGCGAGTCCGACTGTCGTGGCGCGCAAGCAGTCGTGATAAAATTTGTTCCACGTTTCACGATAACTGCTTTCATCAAGCAAGTGTGCAGCATGATAGAAACTTGGCTCCTAGACTTTTGTACCACCTGTACATAAGATTCTGACCTTCATTCAATGTGAGATGAATTGGGACTTGCTTTCACGTAAGGTGTCTATTCGACGCCTTGTATGCGCGCTGAAACGGTAATGATAACTTCCATTGCCCATGTAAATATAGCTTGAGTTTCGAGATCTTTTGTTGAATTGTCGAAAATTTTCGATTTTTTATCAACAATATTTTATGTAAACAGGGAAATTTTTGTGCCAATAATAACGACATCTCTTTGTTGTAAATTTACTGCTTTCAAAATATCTTGAAGATCATGCCATAAGCCACACCTGCTGTGACATAAGTGCGTTTATTAACTAAATGCTTATCTCGATACAGTAAAGCGCAAGAGGACTCATGCATGTGACCCCTCCCCCTTCCGTAAGCGAGATGCTGACGTAGACATGTCCGTCGTTATGTTCTAGCAAGGTGCAGGCGCACCGAGTTGTGCTCGTAGTAGAGGTGCCTGTTGGTTAGTTGGTGCTGATCAAGAATAACCAGTAAAGTGTACTTGCTAGAAAAGGTAGGTAAACGCTATGAACAGGGAAGTTATTTGATCCGTGTTTTCGTTATGCATTAGATAACTCTATCGCAATAGCGAGGAGGAGCCCGATAGCTCCCACTAGCAAGGTTTCAGACTTTGGAAAACATCAGTTTGAGTATATAAAGCATATCAAATGTGGCATAAATCATAGTGAGCTGAAGGAAAGCAAGAAGGAGGTCCCCAATGCTAGAAGTACGAAAAATATGGGAAAGTTTGAATGCCACAAAAGAGATGTTACAGAAGCGTAGAGAAAGTTACGAGAGAGAGAGGGAAGGGGGGAGGGGGGTGGAAATTTGGTTGGAGATATGCACTTTACTCTAGCAAAGGCAAAGATATGCGCACCTTTCCAAGCAAATCAGAACCAGGTTTGTGCGGTAGTGACAACAGAAGCTCAATAGTGGGTTTTGTTATGTAGTCGGAAGGTAGCCGAAAACTGACAAAATATTGCGCAAACATTTTGATATTGCTAAACTTAGGGACATTCAGACACTTTTAATGAAAGGAATGAGTGTCAGATTTTTCCCTTACAAGCTGAGAGGGGCCAGGGATAGGGCCCGAGACAGATCGTTTGGAAGCAGGCTGGACTTCGTTTTTTGCAAAAAGCAAAGGGGATATCGTTTTTGACAAATCGGAACCAAACACCAAGAATGAGCGCCATTTAGTTGAACACAAGCTTTTCGGACAGGTTAGCACACGATTGACATGCTCTGTCATGCATGGCGGAAAGTGTGCGCGATTTGAAAGCAAGGTTAAATAAATAATTGCTTGTTTACAGCGCACACAGAAGCATATGACACCAAAATTGAACTGTATGTATAGAAAATTATTTGCGAAAGTATTATGTAAAGAGATTTGAAAACTTAAAAACTCTCCAGACAGCTACCAGACGATCTGAGATCGTCTGGAGCATAGGCCCGTAGTAAACCCAAATCAGGGCATCTCTCTTGAGGCGGGCCGGAGTTGATCTCATCGCGCCTCAGCACATTGCCAGGGGAGCGATTGATTTGGAGCAGATCACTTACTGGATGTTCGCGTTTTCAAAGTGGAAACGTTTCTGCCATTTGTGCATCAGTAGTCAAATGGATAAGAATAATGCGTTTCAAGCGGCAGGCCGTGGTTCGAGTGCGGCTAGCGTCGCCATTTTGCTACTTGGCCTGACGACCTTTGATAACGACTGCTGTCGAAAAAATCGATGATAGCCGCTATCAGAGATTTCACCTAACAAACAACGAGATGAAACAAATACGCAATATTTTGGCATTCATACCAGGAAAAATTACACTTGGAGAAAAATGAGTAGAAAGGTAAATTTCCTTCTTATTATCTAGCGATCCGCTATCAAAAACAAGCAACAACTGCAAAAAAAGCAGAAACTTTTTTCAAACTCGTCGCGTAATCAGCTGTTCATCGATCCTCACTCAATTAGGCGCTCGAAATTGTGCAGTTTTGGGAGGTTTGCACCGCAAAAGAACGTCAGCTGCGATGTTTCGTAAGTTACTCGGGAGCAACTTACGGAGGTTTTCTCTGTGCTCTCCTTTTTAGCACAGTATATACCTTATGTCGTCGCCCGGCTCATCTCCGATGACTCGGTCGGGAGCTGATCTCCCTGCCGGGCTTCATTTGAAGCTCATCTGTAGGGTGACCTTCCATACTTACACCACGGAAAAGCGGGCAGTCCGCATCTCATCCGACAAAGCCTCATATGAGGGCCTCAGTAGAGATCATCTCCCGTGATCGAGCTTTACTACAGACCATATATTTTCGTCACTACACATAAGTTTTGGATCTTTTTAGCATAGACGGATTCCCCGATCAAAAATTCATCCCTGAGCATAAAGACATTTTCATATCATTACCTCTCCTTTGCTTTTTGCCTTCATTTCTTCTCGCTTTGTTAGATATCGCGCTCTAATGCCAAAGTTCTGTGCATGCATAGTATTCAGCTCCAATTTGGATTATCACTTTTATCTTACGTCTTTTCTTTCAGACTAGTAAATCTCTCTTCTATTCATCTTCTCCTAAACAGGTCGAAGGGGACTTTGTATAACTTCCGAAATCAGGGGAGACTTCGTTTTCAGAAACCCTAAAAACCGACTCGTGCCGGGTCCTGACCAAGGAAGCTTCTGCACGCTTTTCGATTTTTTAATAGCATTATTTTTTAGAGGAAAAACAAGCAATAGAAAAGCGAAGAAGTGGGTTGGAAGGCTTGGATCACTCTCGCTAGATATGCATGATTTTTAACAAAATCAAATCTGAAAATCTCAAGGTATGATTACAACTTCGACACAATTTTGAAGAAAAAAAGAAACTAGGGAAATGTGGGAATTTTGGAGGGGACTTTTTTTAAAAGAAAACAGAAGACACTTGTGCTAATCAGGCTTCTAAAGCAAGGGGGAGGGGGAGGACGTTGCAGCGCAATCCACAAAAGAACTTTTTATTTTTTCCAAGAAGTTTTCCAGATGACCATTCAAAAAAACCGGCATATTATTTATCCAAGCTAATTGCACAATCTCAGCAGAATTAGGTTTTTTGGACCCCCAGCAAGGCAATGTTTTTCTCTGCTTGTAAAGCTTCAATATGAAAAACCTTTGAGGAGCTAAGAAAAGCTCTGTTGTATATTTCATTCACACCAGTTTTGAAACCTACAAGAATTCCACTTACTTTTCATTTTAATTATCAACCAAATGTTTGCGGACTCCCAATTTTGACTGAGAAGAGATCCATCGACACATTTTTTATAAGCGCTATATCTAACTTCTTTCTTGCTTTCCATATACATCTTAATGTCTAAAGGTTTTTCATCTTTTAGTCATAGATGCAGATTTTGATTTTTCCAGTTTATGGATTCAAAAGGCGTACTGTGGTTCTTCAAACGCAATTTCAAAACAATCTCAATAAGGCTCAGAATAGGCCTTCTGGCCTTTTTTAGTGCTATTATTCTAACATTAGCATTAATGTATACCAATCCTCAATTTGTTACTCAATCGACTTCGACTCAGGTTTCGGAAATGCTCCATATGCAAGGTACGAATTCTCTTATTCAAATTTTTTTATTGTTATGACAGCATGGCGACTCAAATGGAGTCGCAATCGTTCGATCAAAATCTTCGACAAAAAGAGACGAATAGGCATTAGTGTCGTTTTAATAATGATAAAATTTTGTAAAATAATCTTATCAATTCAACGAGAACGTTTTGCAGATAATGCAAGTAGCCTTACTGAGAGGATCAAAAATCGGATTGACGATACAGCGCCTTTCAAGAGAAATGAATTGGTACCACCCTTCAAACACGGCAAAGCAAAAATAATGGTATAGAATTGGATTTTCTTCTTTGACTGTCTTAGAAAACTTTGCCGCCTTCTAAAAAACAAACGAATGGAATTAGCGTAATTGCATTCTATAGCGGATTACAAAAATGATGAGGATTGATTTTCGCCAAAGTTATTGCTAATAACAACTAAAAACATGACAAACATGAAAAAAACTTCAGAAGTTGGTAACAGGCAAGAACATTATTGGCTATTTACACCAGATATTAGTGCAATTGTTTTATAGAATCAAATTTTCATCCAGGCAAGGCTAGGTTTTTCCATCTTTTTTGTAAAAAGAAACGTTTAAGCATTTTGATACTCTTGAAAGTAAAGTTGGATTACTATCTTCGAAAGCTATCTTGTTGCAGTAGATCCGTTGGAAGAATCTGGCTTTTGAGCAGGAAAACAACATATGCTATAACACAAAGAAACATAAGACCAAACATGAGTGGCGGACTTTTGAACAATAGCGAGTGCTTAGAGAGGCGTGTGTCAATGCACACCGTTAGCTCCGCCCATCTTTGTGTGGACGAGTTTTCTGCATTACAGCCTTAGCACTAATTCATGGTCATGTTTGCTAGTTTATGAGAATTAGACTTTGATGGTTAGTTGTAAGCTCATTTTTAGACTGGACGAAGCTTCACGATTTACAGAACTATGCTTTGCCCTTATTGCTTCTTTTGATAATTGACGGGCTATTAGTGTTGACCGTAAAACGTTGTTAATTTTGCTGAACTTCATAGATGACAGTATCCAAGTTTGGTTTGTGAAAGATAATATAGAACACCTCAGGCATGGTTGCACTGGTGACCTAACAACAAGCTTAAACAAGCTTACGATTTTCTTGTATAGCCAATTAGTTTGAATTAAAAATAGCAATTTTTGAAGACAATAAAAGGTTTTTGTGTCAAAGCATATCAAAAAAGAGATTACAAGTAGTATAACTTTTCTTTATTTTTATGAATTTTGAGCGATGGCTAAACAATTGCTAAAGCGAGTGATTTCTGATGTTCGAAAAAATTACCAAATTACCAAATTACATTACCAAATTTATATATTCTGAAACTAGGAGATCCAAACACTCAGATGGTAATGTAAGAATGTGTTTGCTCGACTTGCAAGGTGTAAAATGTGTTTATTTACTCAAAATCACTCTAGTATAATCAAAATGATATCGGATAGGCAAGGCTTTCTTCTTTCTGGGCAAAATCTCTATAGTGAATGAGAGCTCGGAACGGTAGCATACGTGACGAATTCAAATTATGTGAATAGAAACACTTGACTAGCTAGTGAATCGTTTTCAAAGCAAATTTTATTTAAAATTCTTATGCAATAAAAAACATGGATAAACCGCTACTGACATGGATCAATAAAGGATCCACAAACTGTTTCAAAGTGGAAAAGATCCTAAAAGATGGTTTTAAAATTTTTGTGAAAATTTTATAATTTACTCATCCTGGAATGAACAAGGAAAAAAGCATAGGTAATGTGGAGTGCCTTTTCATAAGTGCAACGCATTCCTGTGCTAATTAACCAATGGGCGGGGCGTTGAGCGCACCACATACGATAGCCAGCTGTCGGGGCGCATGCTATCGTTCACAATTTACGAACGATTGCATACAGGGTCAAGCAAAAAGTGGCACGATCGCTGGTTACGACCCCTCCCTCCCTCCGTCTTATTGCTGTCTCAGTAAGACCCCCTGAAATATATACCTAAGACAGCATTACTTGAAGGCCCTATCAAACATAACGGGCAACACATCCATAGTTAGCATGTCAATTAACCCCTGTAGACAACGTTTGAGCGAATTCTGAAGTTTCAAGATATTGGGTCACATAAGTGAAAACGCCATTTTCCAGCATGATCAAATTTGTTTCAAAGGTGAAGTAGCTAGCTGTTTCTGCACTCAAGGCAAAGCACTACTCTTTCTTTGGCCACTTCAGAAATTTTTCTTCAGAAGACCTCCTAACTTTGGAATTAGAAGCCAACCAAAATCTTGTTTTTCTTATTTTTTTGCTTTTAAAGGCTGTGCTTTCACCAAATACTACTCAGAGCTAAGAAGACGGTTCAGGTTCAAATCACTTCTATGAAATCTACGAAGTTTAGGCTATCGATTCATATAAATAACGTTTGCTAAAAAAATGTTTTTTTTATATCGGCAATGGGGTGTGGCACCATTAACTTACCTTCAAACAAATCAAGTAGTGCGTTTTGTTACTGCTTAACCTTTTTCTTTACATAGCAGAAATTTATTATGAAAAGGTTTCTTCATGAGCAAGATATTAGGTTTTATCTTACCTATGCAAATGTAAAATACCGGTAAAATACTGCGAAATTATTGGGATACTACGGTAACTTGCTAAGTCTGCGCTACTACTTGAATAGCAACGGAAGGCGACAAAAATGTATATATTCGATAGCTTAAGCCTCGTGATCTACATTAAAATGATATGAGTCTGTTTAGTCTTCTCTGACCTGAGATACTGAAAGCGGAAAGTAGAACAAACAAGATTCTGGTTTGCTCTTAATTCCTTCATTTGGAGGTCATTTGAAGTAAGATTCCTAATGTGAGCAAAGAAGTAGTAGTTAAGCGTAAAAGGAAAAAGTTAACTCACCTTTGAAACAAAGTAACATGTTCGAAAACAACCATCTTACTTAGGTGGTTTGGAAACCTCAGAATTCGCTGAAACTTGGATCACAGGGGTTATTTTACTTGCTAATTACAAAACGATGCTCTTATTCTCTATAGGTATTTGATTATGCTTACTGTACGTATACAATAGTAGTTCAAACAACAATGTCCTAGTGTTTTGCATGACGGGCCTATTTGACATTGTTAACGAACAGCGAACGCCTTGATACCCTCCCCCTCTCAGATTCCTCAATACGACCCCCCCCCCCTAGGTGTGGCATGCCACACCGCACGCTTGACCCTGTTCATAAAGTGACTCACCCTCAAACTAGGGTCCTGCTGTAAAGTGCTTGACTCCTTTAGGATAATACTGCACAAAATTGTTTCCTTTCACCTTAATCTTATAAAATGTTGAAAATTTGTTTTGAAACATCTCTATAAAGCTTACATGTCTGTAGAAGAGGATGCCTGCGCTTGTATTCCTTAGCAGCAATGCTAAACTATCACTGCTACTCACGGTACACTGGTGGCAGGACTTTTGCGAAATTTGATAAAAATCTGATTTACAACAAAAGGGCCACCTTGAGTGGCCGATCAGCAAAAAATGAGCACCCATACCCAAACTTTTAAGAGCTTATTCCAAATCTGTCTCCTGTTCACAAAACTTTTTTGGCAAGGAAGTTATGAGCGTTTTTCGGGCTGGTACGCGGCCGCTTTGTTCACATAGCATATTGCACTCCCACAAGTAGGTATAATGTAGTGACAAGTGTACTGTCTCTGTATCGAGTTAGCTTTGAGTTTACTGCTAGACAGATCTTTTTCAATTTATGTAATCTCTTAAAATTGAGCGAATAAGTCAGGACTAGTTATTGTGCTTAAAATGCTGCTGTCAAAATAACTTTACTAGTAAACTTTACTGAAAGAAACGAAGTGTATCAGGATTAGTTATTGTGCTTAAAATGCTGCTGTCAAAATAACTTTACTAGTCAACTTTGCTAAAATAAACGAAGTGTTAGCAGAAAAATTCCAAAGATAAAACCAGCTGGCTGACCCTAAACATGGCCTGCCGCCAAAATATGTATGTAAGTAGGACAAATTCGAAACGCACAAGCGTATCCTAATCGGTGACGCGGCAGCAACCGCAGTTTTCTCCGCCGAGCGCGACAGTAAGCACGGACTTGATTTTTTCGCTTTCTGAAGTTTCAGACGATCTTGTGCGCTTGTGTGTTTGTTTTTTCGCTTTTTGAAGTTTCAGACAATCTCGTGCGCTTGTGTATTCCGAATTCGTTTTGGACAAGGGTTCCCGAACTCGATCAGCATCAAGTACTATTGTCACAGAGTGAAATCACACTTTGTAAAGTTGGTGTCTGGAATTTTCGGGTACAGCCATGCGCACATGCCATTCGTTCCCCAGCAAGATTCCCACAGGTACCACGTCATCTCGCTGCCTTTCGCTCTTTTGAACGTGTTAACCTCCGGCAGTTCCGTTGAAATCTCAGGTGAAACGTGTCAAAAAAGCGAAAGGCAGCGTCGCACCACGTACGCACGCTGGTTCATATGGGGTCTCTGGGGCGCAGACGATAGATGGTTTTGGATTTCGTCCGCGAATCTCCAAAAAGCTTTCTCGACAGTCTGATTTCTTCGAAATACCACGCAGTGGAAAAGCATTTACATCTGGAGCTCAAATTCCACTAACGGATTTAATCACGACAAAATGTCACCTTTATTAATTTCAAAAGGCCGCACAGACTGAAAAAAGGCACTGAATTGGAAATGCTTGCTCCATCTGCCGGTCAGCCAATTATGTTTGGGGTGCTAATAAGAATGAGAATTAGTCGAAGTTGCACATGGTGAAAACTCAGGTTGAGCCTTGGTGAGTGACTTCGGAGAGCAACCAAATCGAGAACATGATTGCTGGAGAAAGGCGAAATCTTTATGGTAATTTGTTTCTTTGCAAATCCACCCCTACCGCGTCTCGCAATGTCCTCTAACATCAAATTTGTAATCGTCACAGTGAGCAGCCTATGTAAGCAAAAACTGGAAAAGAATTTGAAAACTATCTTCCACGTTACCTGCTGTACCCTAAGCTCAAGCAGTTATGTATATACAGAGGCGTGCCATGTCGAATTAGCTGAATGGTAACCTTCAGAACTAGTCTATTCTGAACAGAGACCTGATGCGAAAATTTCGGTGAACTTTGGCGGGGCCGTCCAAGCACAGCCGCCACGACTCTTTTTTCACGAATAATGAGCGACAATTCAGGAACTTCACACCCCAGTAGCTGATCTGACTTTGTCATAAAGATCCTCAGATGGTTTCAAGCCTCAAAGTACATATAGCACGAACTATATTTGTAGTAGTGTAA